AGAGTATTTTTAACTACCCTTCCAGGCAACTTAGCACCAGGGTTGGGGAAAGAGAGAGAAAAAGAGTACGGCTAACAGCATGGGTCCAGCCAGTACTCCATGAGCCATCAGGAAGGGCTCTGAAGACTAAAGTCTGAGGAAAGACTGAAAAACGTGCTCACGTTAACCAGTTTTCAGGGAATCTCTTTGAAAAAAAAATCATGCCAACACGGTGTTTCAAAACAGGAATCAACAAATGTGTATGTGCCTTCTGTTGGCGCTGTTAAAGATTATTAACTGCTTTCATAACTACTATGCAAAATGCATAAAGAGCCAGGAAAAATACTGGAAAGCTGTGTCCACTTGCCTCTGTAAGGGAAGTGGCTGTGTAGCTCAGTCTTTTTGCAAAGCACAAAGAGACTGTTTCTTGTGTGGATTAACTGCGCGTTTCCACAGTACATAAATTATTTTCATTTGTTCCTGGCTTATTCTTTAAATTACTTAGCTTAAATCCATATGATTGTAAATGCTCTTTCAAAGCAAATCTATTTTGGATATACAAGCCTTTGCTGGGACTGCAATCTTCCACAGTGCGTGTACGGTTAAAAGAATTAGGATTAATCTTCACTTACATTGCAGAAAGAACTCAACACCCCTAATTAATTGGAATAATTCAGTAATTTTCTGGAAGCATGAGTGTTTGATCCAGTAAACTATTAAATGCACTAGTTGTTTTTTTGTCATATCACTAGCCCTCAGAAATAACTTTTTTGTGTGAAATTGAAAACCAAACACACAATCTAAAGGCCAAATTATACACTAGTATGTGAATTTAAATTGTTTACATCAATATACTTCCCCATAACGACTACTTTTCTGCTGGTAGAACAGGACTTACTTTGAGTGCAGTTTATGTTGCTTTGGAAGGATTTTAAACTAAGCCCCAAAAGCTACTGTCATTCCAGAACGGGAGTCTCTACGTGAGACTTTAAAACAGATAATACTACTGTGATTTAACCATAGCAATACCGGAGACAAATGCTGGGTGACATGGCAGTGCAAGTCCCACTGAGAGCCAACGGGACTCCAATTTCCACTTTTTTGGTTTCTACTTCAGACCAGGAAACTAGCCTAGAACGTTGCTGAGTATCTTCTGTTTTGTAACATGTACAGGCATCACAACAAAATATACACATTTAACTTTGTGATGGCATCAGCCGACCGTACGAACGCCTTAATGAACACAGCACTGACAAGCAGCACGTTCATATTGTATACTTCACATACATCACTAAAATTTTTTTACAGTAAAATAACAGAAACTATAATTATTATATTCCATGTCAATGCTATAGTGCAAGATTTTCTGTCACAGTACACTCAGCTACAACTGTTAATTTAAAAAGTCTGTAATAGCCAAGTACACATTAGCTGGTCTACAAAATATTTAGGTATTCATTGTCAATGAAAGTAAAGACAGGACAGAAGAGAAATGGAAAAAGAAGCCTTACCATCATGAAATGAAGAAGAGTTACCCATGGCAAAGAGATGTAAATAGGAAAAGCTGGATGAAATATGTGTGGAAAGGAAAGGAAAGGCATCACTAAAAAGAAGGAAAAAGAAAACAGAAGAAGTGAGGAGGAAAAGGGAATGGTTCATCTTATATAATACATTCTGAAGGCTAGTTTTCCAATGTTTTTTGTAAAGATTGTGGAAAGAAGCAAAGGCAAGAACAACCGTGGTAACAGCCGCCATTATACCTACAATCAGCAGTCATGCTGCTGAACAGGACTTGCCCTTGTCAGTACAGATTGCAAAATTGTAACCAGTGCTTTATTATCATCAAGAGTTTTAAATGTCATGCCACAACTCAGCATAACATGCTAGGGAAATCAAGCCATGCACTAACATTTACATAAAAATAACTTTTTATATATGAAACTGAGAAAATGTTATGCAAGGTGTTGTACCTCACCTCCGCCTTGCCTAAGCAATTGCAACTTTCTTGCCTGGTAAAGCTGAGTAAAAATTTTTACAGATGTTTTTAAAGGTGTGGGGTTTTGCGGTTAAAGACCTTATTGACACCAAAAGTTTGGTGTCCACTGATGCCAGAACTCTTTGAAGTGGAAAATTTCATGGAGAATTAACAGAAAAACACATTTTCCAAAACAAGCAGTGTTTAACACACTGATCTGCAATAGGGGACCTAAACCGCACACAAGTTTTGAACCTGGACCCTCCAACTCTCCGTGGCAAATTCTTTCTCATTTGTTGATTGAATTGGTGATGTTCTTGTTCACATGTGGTTTGTTTTTTGCGGGGGGCAAATGTACATGAAGGAATCCTGTTTTCTTCTCTGCCCTCTTCCTAAGGTTTTTTTTTTTTTTGATAAAGGAAAGGAACCAATGTAGAAAACCTTAAAAAAGCTTTTGCAAAATGGAAAGCTACTCGTCACCCAGCTTTAATAGGTTTTGCTCTTATAACCAGTACACTCTCTCCAGTGCTTTTGTAGGTGTCTCTGCTGGGACTGAAAGAGGAAGAGTTTACAACTGGCTATATCCACCATGCTGCCACTAGTGCAAAAAAGCCAGGAGAGTGCTGTAGCACCCACCCCACGATTCACCATCAGGCCTTAGCAGAAGCATGAAACAGGGTTAGGCAGCTTGCAGCTGACTGCTGCTTCTTCCCCGTTCCTCTACGAGAACTGTAAGCGTCCTAGTGACACATTAGGGTAATGAAGGAACAAAGAGGGACCCAGTAACCAGACTGGTCATACACCGGAGCTATCACAAAAACCATTTAACTTCCATGTTCCCCAAAGGCCACTAGTAGGCCCGGCTGTATCTGTCACACAGCTTCACAGTCATTAGCTCAACTGTGAATCTGGATCACTGAAAAGAAAACAAATGGCTAGATTTAATCATAACCGTTTTGATTGGAAGGATGAACTTCGGGGAAGCTGAGGCCATCCTCCCCATAGAGTATGTGGTGCTTTGGCAACATGCGTAACACATACACAGGTAAATACTATCTGGATTCACACTGCCCAGTCCATCAGTGGTCTGTAAACACTGGACACTCCACTCAGTCATCCATCATTTTTACCAGTAACTCCTTTACCCACCAGATTTCACCAACCCACTGTTCTCTTCATTAATAAATCAGAAATCTTAACACACTTATCATAAATCTTTCCAATAACACTACCCCACAATCTGTCCTCAACTGCAAATCTCTCCGCACAGTAAAAGACATTAATCCACTGTGAATTGTTTTGGCTTACAAAGTTTTAATTTATCGCTCTACCCTCTCCCGAGGGGCTGTTTATTTGTCTAACGATATCTTACAGGAGCCATCACAAGCCTTCTGAAAATTCCTATCAGTTATGATATTTAGGTCAACTTCCACTCCAAAATCTTTTTTTTTTCTTTTTTTTCTTTTAACAAGTTGTCTAACAGGCTAGAATAACATGATTTGCCCTTGTAAATGCCATTCTGGTTTGACCCTATCAACTTATACTCGTCTAAGTATTCACACTGTTCTGTCCTTAGACTCAATTTACTCTCCTTGTTAGTGGTAGCAGGAGGTCATCAGCTAAACCCTTTGCAACATGCTGTAAATGTGGTTTGGTGTATGGACTCTTGCGGGCTTTCTATTCTCCATTAAAAAAACAACTGAGTTCTGGAAAAGAACAAAAATTATTCTAAATCAAATATCCTACCTATCCTTCCAGAGATTTTGTTAAAAAAGCAAAAAATAAAGAAACGCTATAAACCTCCAAGCTTTTATCCTCATAGCAATCCCAAGGAAATTAGCACTGTGATAAAATAAAGTTTTCTTTCATCCCACTGTTACATGCCATTTGCATTCATAGCTTTCTCTTTTAAGCAAACAAAGGCTTATAGGCTTTGAAGCAAATTTATAAAAATAGGTAATAAACATTAAATGGTAGAATCTGACTGCATTTCCATACCATTCTCTAAGATCAATCTCCACAACAAAAAAGGTCGTGCAGTTTATTTCCAGCTTCTAGTATTCCATGTTTACCCCAAATAAAAACCTAGAGAAAACATACTCTTCGGCTCTCCAGAACAACTTTATCATCATAAACCACCGCAACAGCAAGAGGTTAAAAAAAGGCAGGCACACGGATGCTGAAAAGGCTCATAACCCCACGTGGAACCAATGCAGTGTTTTAACTTTTTCTGCTGTCACTAAAACGGATAGATAAATTCAAGACCACACGTTTCAAGGGCGAAGACAAGGCAGGTCTGGCTGCTGAAAGTATAGTAGTATTTTACGGAAG